AACCGAGCTAGAGCATGATTTGTACGCCACACAAAAAGAGTTCGTGCCATTGAAGGAGGGATACGAGAGTGCGATGAACGAAATAGACTCCCTGAATCGCGATCTGAACGAAGCAAATGCAAAGATTACTCAGCTGGAACTGCTCTTGGATAAGGAACAAAAAGCTAGGTCTAAAATGGAACTCGAGAAGGAGGGAGAAATCGCCAAGTTAAGCAAAAACGATGAAGAACTTCTGCGAGTACAGCGGAAGTTAGTAGAGTACCAGACTTTGTGGGATCAGCACGCAAAGGAAGTCGGCGGCAAAGACGCTCTCATTCAAGATTTGAGAAGTGAGAAAAAGAACTTAGAGAGGAATTTACAAGTTGCAAGGGACGAACTGGCTAGCGTACATGGGTCTATCAATGATGCTTTGAGAAAGAAGGACATGAGTGACGGAGATGCATTTGCACTGAAAAAACAAATGGCAAACTACGAACTGCGACTCAAATCTACCCTGCTTGAAAACGAAGAAATGCACAACGACCTTATAGGTTACAGCAATAAAATAGCCGAATTGGAAGAAGAAATACAGAAATTTTTGAAAGAAAATACCACCATGAAAGCAGAGCTACATGATGCCCGTGATAATGCGGCCAGAAGGAAGGAAGATTACGATGTACTCTCGAGGAAAAACACAGAGTATAAAAACACAGTGGAGGCTCTGCGAAAAGAGGTGGCCGACAAGAATGGGCAAGTGGAGTTTCTGAAGTCAGCCAACGGTTCCCTGGAGAGTGAAATAAATTCACTGAAAGCAAAGATTGGCCAGTTCAATGATGAGTTTGACAAAGGATATCAGGAAATCACGGAGCTAAATGTTGCCATTCGAGAAAGAGAATCCACGATCGGCAGCCTGGAAAACACTATAAGATCACTCCGCCGCGACAACGATAAGCTATCCCAGGAGATCGCGGCATGTCGAGCATCAACTATTGAGTACAAGAATTATTATCAAGGGGCAAAGAAGGATCTGGAGAAGTTGAAGACGGACCTGCTCTCATCAAACAACAGAATCTCTCACTTGGAAACGCGCAACGAGGCTCTGGAGGACGAAAGAAATGATCTGAAGAATGAAATCGCCCACTTGAAGAAACTCAATACCGAGTTAAAAGGTAAGGTCGAATCTTTAGATCGCGATAAGAAGAAACTGCAGAACGAGTTTAACGTTATTCAAAGGAAGTACCAAGAAATTCATAGCAGCTATATTAGCATCGAGAGCGAAAAAGCAAGAATCAAAGCGGACGCTACCCTACAAAAGAAAGTTGTCGATCTCCAGTCGCAGCTGCAGCAGGTTACCCAAGAAAAGGAAGACACAGAGAACGAACTGGACTTGATTAGGAAGAGGCTATCTAAGATGGAACAGGATTTCGGTGATTGCAATCGTGCAAAGGAGTCGTTGGAGTATGAGGTTAGCTGGCGAACCAATCGCATAAAAGAACTCGAAGACGTCATACAGGCCCTGGAAGAGAAAGACCAGTTTGGAAAAGACGAGATTTTGTCCTGGCACAAAAAGGTCACTTCTCTAGAGCAAGAGCTACAAGCAGCTAGGAACAAGATCACTCGCCTTGAAACATTCAACAAAGCATATGATGATAAGATTCGTGATCTGAACATCGATCTCGTCGAAGGACAGGAGGCATTAGCGAAAACTGAAGCCAACTTGGCTAACACCCAGGAAGCTCTCGATAACAAACAACGAGAACTGATGGATAGCTACAAGAAGGTTTCAGAATTGCAGACGGCTCTAGATGCAGCTGTTCAAAGTAAAAGTGATGCACAGAGAGACTTCCAAGATGCCAAAGCTAAGATACATTCGTTGGAGGAAGAACTGCAAGAGGAGCTCAAGCGGCAAGCCCAGCTGAGAGGTACGTTGGAAGAAACGAGAGCAAGGAATGAGGAGTTGAGGGATGAGATTACCAATTTACAGAAAAAGTTGTTGGAGCTTCAGCAAGATGTGGATGACCTGCAGCGTGAGTTGTCAGAGAGGGACTATAGAATAGATCGTCTGAGGAACGACTACGACGCTTTGCAGAGTGAGATAAATGCCACTAAAGCAGATCTTTCTACCACAAGAACCAATCTGGAGAGAGCCCTAAGCGATAAAAGGGGGTTACAACACGAAAACCAAAAACTACAGCTACAGAATTCGGAGCTCGATACTTCATACTCGCTACTCAGGGACGAAAACGAGAGGCTAAAGTCAGAGTTACAAGGTTTTCAAGTACAGCTGTCTGAGCTTCAACTTAGTTACAACACTTTACAGAGGGATAGTATCACTGTGGTGGAACAAAGCACTGTCGACACTGCGCCTGAGACTGACTTTGAAACAGAAGCTTTACGAGGCGAGTGCGAGCGTTTGGCTCGTGAAGTTTCGGGACTGAATCGGAAAATAGTGACGTGGAAAGACAAGAGCGAAGGTCTGGAGCAAGAGAAACTACGACTAGAAGACAAAGTCTCGTCAATGCAGAAGACCATTAACAGTCTGGAAGGAACTAACCAAGGTTTGATCTCGGAAAGAAATCGGCTCCAAAATGATATTGATAAGCTTCAAAAGAAACTAATTGAGGTAGAAGCACTTCTGGGTACAGCTGAAAATGAAAATCGCACCCTGGGAGACGACCTGGAAGACACGCAGAAGAAGCTTCTTAAACTGGAAGCTGATTATGAGTTGCTCAAAAAACGAGCTGCACCTTCCGGGGGGTGGATCTCATCGTCAGATGCTGCCTTGAGAAGAAGTAAAGAGAGAGAAAATGAATTGCAAAATGAAGTTTTGGAGGCGCATAAGAAGAATTCAAGCTTAGAGCACGAGCTTAAATCAACGCGCGAGCGATTGGAAAGCCTCCAAGATGCATACCTAAAAACAGAGGATAAAGTGGCGCAGTTTAAAGAAGAAATTATTGTTTATCAGCGACGCATCGCAGAATTGCAGGCTAGTTACGAGAGTAGTCGTGAAAGGAACGCGCACTCAGATCAAGAAATCCTTGAATTGCAGCGGAAGCTGGAGGAGCTTGGAGACAGCAAGAAAACAAGTCATAAAGACAGGTCGGACATGGAATATGAAATCAACTCACTGCGTTCAACGATTGCAAGGTTAGAGTCACAGCTTGGAGACTCAAACAAGGAGAAAGACAGCCTCCGATTACAGTTGGTAGATTCTCACAACAAGAACGAAGAGGCTTCCAAAGAAGTAACCAGGCAAGTTACTGAGATTCACACCAAAAGCGAAGTTTTCAGGCGAGAAATTATTGAGAAGGAGACAGTAATCGAGCAGTTCCAAACGAGGGTCATTACTATGGACAGAGAGTTAGACGCCCTCAGACGTGAGTTGCAGAACAAGACAGACGAGTGTAACACACTCCAACGGGAGATTGACCAGCTGAAGTTTGAGCTGAACCAGCAAAAGCAAACCAGGTATATGAGTGAAGACGAGCTCCGTGGTGAAATAGAATCTCTCAAGTTGAAATACGACGAAATAGAGGGTGAGAAAGACGCTCTACGAAGGGAAAGAAACAATCTACAATACGAGCTTCGTTCGGTAAAGGATCAGCTGGATAATGTAGAGACAGTCTACAAAGACAGCACCGATGGATTGCAACAGGCCAACAATGATCTTATCTCAAGTCAAGTCAGGATATCGGAGCTGGAGACAGAGCTGCAGAGAGCGACTAAAGACAGCCAAAACCAGCAGCACCATTTGGACAAGGCCAACAGAGATATAGTAAGTAAACAGGAACAGATCATTCGTTTTGAAAAAGATCTGCGCACGATGAAAACAGACCTGGAGCTAATGAAGAAGAGCTGCGATGAAAAGGATGACAAGATTGGCATGCTAGAAAAGAAATGTGTCACGCTAGAGCGCGAGATCGAAAGACTCAAGAAAGATCTCTTTTTGGCTCAAGAAGATCAACAGCGAAGTGAAAGAAGGTTGAAAGACTTACAGGCCAGATCAGAAATTGCTAGAGTAGAAGTTAAACCCACTTACGAAACAAGCTTTGAGGTGCGACGAAGCCGAAAACCAGTTGATAATGTCGCTATTCAAGGGCGTGGCAGGAAAACGTCAACTCTTGCAATGGACATTGGAAAAACCCCAAGAAGTCAGCCTGGATCACCAAGAATAGAGAACGAGCCGCTCAATCGCAACATTTCTGCTCCTGTGACACAAAGCGAACCCCTTTCTGCTTTCATCAGACCCGAAAAGGACCTGAGTGCGACATTTGAAGAACCAGTCATAGAGGTACAGGCAAGGCCTGTAGAGGACGAACCGTCCACTCCTGATGAAGTGTTCTCCAAAGATGCTCCAGTGGTTGTCAGATCCTACGGGGGAAATGAGATAGCAAATGGTATGACGTCATTTGTTCTAACACGAACCCATTCACGAGTCAATGAGAGCCGCACGGAGTCCCATACCGAGTCCACAACGGACAGACGAAGTACCACAACTCACGGCCGAAAATTCAACGAAGAAGTCGAAGTAAACCAGAGGACCATGACAAGTGTGACCAGCGTGTCGGAAGACCTGGCCTTCGCTGAAGGAAAGATAACCACGCCTCGTGGTTATGGCAGCAGAGGAGGCTGGGATAGGAACTCTAATTACTATCTTTAAATTATGCTTTCTTTTTAATAATAATAATGGGACACTTTTATAATTAATTTCGTGAGCCCGGGACCCATATAATTTTAGCTGGGTTGACTCATCAGAACTTAGAACCAATTTAAATCGTGAAGTCTTGCTAAGCGCAGGAAAATCAACCTGCAGCTGACGCAAACAGCGCGTATGGATTTGCGTGTAGTAGATCGCTTGTGACATGGCCGCGAAGAAGACATCTTGGTCCCAACTACAAACCATTTCATGTTGTGAGGGCTCTTGAAATTGATTTTTCTTGCATGGGAAGTTATCATAGGTTTTGTGGGTTTTTAGGAGCAACAGATACTACACTTAAATTCAGAGATTTTTTGAAACACCATCTGATAAATGCCTTTTAATCGTGTCTAGCTAATAGTTAAACGTACTTTGTGTCAATCTGACATTTTCACTGCAAGCTTTATCTAATCATTTCATCTCAAAAATCATTTTGACTTCTAGAAAGTTTCATCAAAATTTATTTGAAATGGCATGATAATTCCCATTTTTTCGCATACGTTATATTGTATAATTCGTAAGGTTTGATTTCGCCCTTAAATGTGGGAGATTCATATATCTTAATGTATTTTGATTTGTTATTGAAGCGTAATTACATGGATGTATGGTGTTTTTTTTTTAATTTTTGCTATTTTTAGAAACTTGGTTCTGAAATTAATCGTTCTTAGTGACCGGATTTTATAGGTAAACGTTGATAATAGTGATAAAACGCATGTAGCGGGTCTCGCTGCGGTTAAAAATTTGAACATTGTTTGTACTGTATTTCATAGTTTTCAGACTTAGATGCTGAAATAAAGTTACTGTCTTTCATTTGAGCATATGATTCTTCAGTTATAAGGTGCATAAATAAGGTGGAGCTGCACGTTCAAGGGCGAGCTTTCCTTGGTGCCAATTTTCAATCCTTGATCAGTTTTTCTCTGATAACTTTCAACTTTTCCGTAAACCGGCAGGTCAGTTTTAGGAAACAATTGTCCTCTTTTGTCCAATTCCTTAATTTTCCCCTCCTTAGTTACTCTAATTTCACCTCTATTTAGCGCTTACTTAATTATATTAAGCGGTGGTTGTCACCCTTTATTAAGTCCCATCGGTCTGTTTGTTTTGTCTTCTACTTGTACTGAAAAGTCACTTAAAGCGGAACCATTCAAACAAAACGAACAATAATCTTTCAAGTATGATTTGGTCTATGTTTACCTCCCGGAATCAATGTTAGAAGTATTTTTGAAGAGTTTTTGTACAATAGTGGTTAATTATGGATAAAATGGCCTTTTTTGTAACATCCCCATCATGTGGAACCTGTTTTGAGCGGCCAACCTATATCAGTAAGCAGTTACCCTGCAACGTCACTCTATGGTAATACTTTCTTCACTTGATTATGACTGCATTGCGTCATGTCTCCGTCACAACGACTGTGATATGTTGTGATACATCCCCTTTCGACTTCACTGGCTTGTAGCCGCAGTAATCTTAGCAACAAAGAGGTAAGTGTTTTTTCATGATCTTTGCGTGAAACTGGTTTCAAAGCTGAGTGGCTGTACAAGGTTGTCAGCACCACAGCATTTGACTCGCCCACAAATGACGCACTGGCATACTTGGTGCAATTCGTTACGAAATGTTCTGTTCATCGTGATATAGATGATTGGGTTACAGGCAGAATGCACGCCCGCTACAAGAGTCACTGAATGAAAAACAATTCGTGAAATGCTAATTGTCGGAAGTGACTGCAGAAAATGGACAATGACAAACGGGGTCCAACACACAACAAAAACGAAAAGCACCGTGAAAACCACTTGCGCTGTCTTCGTTTCACGCCTAAAATTTTTTTGTGATTGCCTGTTGTCACTCCATCGTTGCACTTGCCTCTTGTGGAAACGCACCTTGAGGAAAATTCGTAGATAGCAGTAGAACATTGTTAATAATGGGATCACAAAACAGCTGATTATCACAAGGAGGATGTAGCCGCGTCCCTCGCTAAAAGAAATCTTGCACATGGTGCTCAGAGAGCTGTGTGCGTATTGGTTCCAACCAAGAACTGGGAGAACACCAATGATGATGGACCACGTCCAGACTATGGCTAGTAGTACCCAGGCCTGTTTAGGGGTGATCTTACTGCCCGGTGGGGAAACTATTGCACGATACCTGAAGAGAGAACGGTCAAGATATGAGTAAAACATGATGATATAAAAATCTTATTCTGTCACTTACAGCTGAAGGTGAGAAAGTATCACACTTTAAAAAAAATCACTTTCAGATTCAAGAAATCTAGTTTCCCGAGAATTGATGTTTCATTCCACCATCTCGTCAAATTTACAACAGAAAATTTTGCTCTTCTTAAATCCTCAAGGGTTAATTTTCCAAAATCGGTTACGACCTAAAAAGGAGATTACCGTATGAAAAAGCTTTACACGTCTAATTCATTCGACTCCTAGCGTAATTCTCTCTGCCATAAAAACCGACAGCTGAATGTTTAACCATCTACGAAAATATTCCTCCTCGGGATCTCGTTCGATAGTGCCGCGCTAAGAAAGAGACTAAAAATTCTTATCTTTGCCAGCCTCTTCTCTTCATTTCCTCAAAGAAACAGTTTCGTACCTGTCAAAGCTGATAACCGCCATTATTAGAATAGAAGCTGCACCCGCCATCATGTTAGTGGCGCCATTGAACTTACATAACGCCTCTCCAAAGGGCCATCGGCGAAGCAAAATCGTCACAACAGAAAATGGAAACAGTAATACCGCAATTGAGAGATCCACAACAGCGAGATTGGCAATGAACATGTTTGCTACTCGCACGCTAGGACGGCTTCTTTGGCGGTAAGTTACAATTAGCACCAGAAGATTTCCAAGAATTATTAAGGTCATTATAAAGATGATCACAGCGGCGTGAAGAGCTGTTGTCAAATTACTTGCACTTGAATTGGAAGAGTTCGTCTCTGATACCAAGCTTTCGTTTTGTATCGAGTTCATTGCTTCGTGGTCGCACAGGTTGTTCAGGAATTATTTTCTTCCGGACACTCGAGGTGTTCTGTAAAGACAAAAAATACAGACGAGGTAAATATAAATTGCTAGAAAATCGCGCAAATAAGAACTGGATTGGAGAAAAAAATACTACGTCTTGAAAATAAAGAAAATAGATAAATACGACGTACTTGTTTCTTTAGACGCTAAAACTGACAACAATTTCAAGATTTGCAAAACACTCAGATATAGAGCAGAATCTAATTTGGGACACTATGCTGCTTGCTTGAGGCTCTTCAACAATTTATTTCTGAACCCATCACATATTGAGCAGTTTATTTCAAAAACACCACGAATGATTTCAATGTGTTGTTTAACTTTCTTGTCTTGGGACGGAAACCCGGTTTTTCTTCAAAACAAACATATATGTCTGAGTGTATAAACTAATCCTTGGTTGTTAATTGTTCTTCACTTTGCTGTTCTCCTTTCGGCGGGGCTGCATCACCAGGTATTTCCAAAATCAATACAGTTTTAACCATTAATTGAAGACATCTTCAATTTAAGGAATTAGCGGTGCGCTTTTGAATAGTTACAATTGATGATAAAAATTAGCTTCAAAGAAATGAGGAGCATTATATTTGTACAGTAAAAAGCTTAAGGTAAACAAGCCTATGTTTCTGATTGCTTTTGTTTCAGTGTTAATTGCCTTCTATAATTTTACTAGATCATTCCTGATAATTCAAGATTTTTTTCTAAGTTTTTCAAGTTCAAACTCATCGAGAAACTTTTATTGAATCAATTCCCTTAATTGGCAATTTTTAATTTTTTGTGTTGCAAATAAAATGAAAAGGTAGAAATATTAGCTTTTTTTGTGATATTTACTGTTCAGCACTATTAAAGTGGGTCTTCTGAAGATTAATGAGTCCAAAGCACTTAGTTCTTTTTGTCATTTTACGTCCGGAATCTGATGCCATCAGGCGTTAAATAGGACTTTCCAAAGGATTAGATCAAAGACAGTGTCATATCCGATTAGGACATGTAAAACATTTAGCGACTGATTTCAACTGGATAAAGATAGAAATAAAGATTGATCGGATATTAGATACGACAAAACTAAAATTTTGGCAACTTTTACTTGCAAACGAAACACATGAGCCTGCTGGAAAACTGAATCGACTACATGAAGTCGAGGCTCACCCAGAAACTTCCCAAGACGGTAGGAAGAACTTGGAAAATACTGAACAATGTGTGTGAAGTGAAGTGCAATCTCACAGCTGAAAAACCAATTCTCGCGAAAGGTTTCACCCTGGAAACACATATTGTGATTTATGTGACACTTTTTTTTTTTTTTTTATAGAAATACGATTAAGTAAACTGTGTAATATGTAATCGTGACATGTAAACAAAGTTTTTTTTTTCCTCAGGCGCTCTGTTGAGGCACGAGTTATAAATATGGGTCGTTTAGGTCCATTCACAAATTGCTGTTGAGATTGTAGAACGCATATATAAGTTAAAGTGTTTCATGTGAGGTTGAAAAACCTGGCAAAGGGAGGGAAAACATCTTTCACATGCTCTTCATTCTTCAAATGCTGTTGAGGCTGGTAAANNNNCGGTTTTTTTTTAATCCTGGTTTTCTCTTCTTAAAGAGAAGACAAGGCCGAACACTTCTGTCCAGACAGCCTCCCGAACGAAGTAAAAAATCCCGAGCTAAAATGTACCCACGGCCACAAATCCACCGCAGAATTCAAGGGCAAAGGTTGACCTTTCATTTCGATTCTCTAGCCACACAATCTCAGCCCTGCGATCGACGCCAGGCGGCTCTTCGTGTCCTCAGTGAAACGTTAAAACGTTTGTAGACATCCGAGTCCTTTTTAAACACGACACAACGACCCTTGAAATCGGCTTGGTAACCTCGTCCTGTTGGCAAACCAAGACTCGCGGGGGTACTAGATCTCAACTTATCAACAAAACTCTTGTAAAACCCGGGGTCCCCTCAGGTTTAGTACCCCGGCCAGTCTTGGTTTGCCAACATGACGCGGTTACCAAGCCAGTTTCAACGGTCGTTGTGTCCTGTTTAAAAAGGACTGAGGACACGAAGAGCCGCCTGGCGTCGATCGCAGGGCTGAGATTGTGTGGCTAGAGAATCGAAATGAAAGGTCAACCTTTGCCCTTGAATTCTGCGGTGGATTTGTGGCCGTAGGTACATTTTAGCTCGGGATTTTTTACTTCGTTCGGGAGGCTGTCTGGACAGAAGTGTTCGGCCTTGTCTTCTCTTTAAGAAGAGAAAACCAGGATTAAAAAAAAGAACCGCTTAAATCAAGTGAAATCGGTAAAATAACGACAACAGGAGCAAGCAACACACGTATGGAATAAGGTAAGCCATTTTTATTTGATATTTTCAATTTTAACTATCTCTATGGCTATCTTGTAGAAAATCCCATACAAATCCTCATAAATCGATATGCAAATTGTGTTCCTTGTGTGGTTCTCAAATAGAGCTTGGGCTGCCTGTGCTCAAACTCCCAAGATCTGATTGATAATTCTCCCCACTAACTGCTATACATTTTCTTGTGAATTTGGTGTTAGATCAAGATACCAATGTTTACCTGATAAGTTTGAGTATTCTCACTACAAGTTTGTTGGATAGTAATTATTGTGGCACGAGGCATGAAAAGGATTTATGATTGTGGGGAGAAGTTACTTGTTAATCATTCCTTGGAGTTAACTGTTAAATGCAACCAAGACACCCAAGATGAGGCTGTTTGAAATACTATTCAAATGAAAGTTTCAGGAGAAAAAAATAAAATTCAGTCATTACATAGTTTCATTATAAGAGCCCCATGGTGTTTTCAAATTCAGTCTCAAACTTAAAAATTCAAATTTAGTTTCCAGTTTGTCTTTAAGTTTCTTAGATTCTCTTCTAACCCTCAGGTATGGGCAATTTCTTGAATACATTGGTGTATTTACAACTAGTAGAAAGACTTGGTTCTACTATGCAAGACAATACCTATAACTGTTCTTTACCTAGCATCTCAAATGTTATTAAAATATTATTGTTATTCTTTGTTTGCACGTGACATCAGCATAAATTAAAAAACTGGGGTCAGCCATGTTGGGGGATAACCACGCGTTACAATCCCTGTAACATAGCTGTCTGAAGTGTAAGTTGAAGGTGTTACGATATACTTGTCAATGCCATGCATTCTAAATAGCTGTTAATACTTGTAATTAGGCATGCCAATGCAGACTATTTTAAGACTTGTGCTGTAGTTTGGATTGTAATACCTTTATTTTGTGTGAATGGTAAATTTTTTTTGTTGTATACTACACCGCCCACGTGCTTTGCGGAAGCCGGTATGATCCTTTTACAGTACTGTTTTAGTTTCCCCTCTTATCATGCCACAACTCAGTGTTGTCTTTGGTTGTTTTGAATTTGGTTGTGTTACAGGTATGAACAAGCAAGCAATTGAAAAATGATTATTGTTTAAGCTGTCAAGGCTGTATGTTTCTTTTGTAATAAAAATTTTCCAAACTTGGTGCATATGCATATAGTTTAGTTTGAGATTCAGCTAATTAGTGATACTTGTGGGATTGATGCTGTCTTTTCTAAATAGTGATAATAACAACACAAGCTGGGCTATAACCACGCACATACTTTGTGGAAGCCGGTATTGTTTCGTTGGTAAAGGCAAAACCAGGTGAGTCTCTGGCTCCTATTGACAAAGCTGCCATAGTGTGCTACGCACTCACCAATTTATCAGAGTCCATGCATTGTACCATTTGATCGTGGTGAACTTACAACCAGTTTGATTCCAGGTACTTCATGTACAATTTTTCATATAGAGGCTGTAGTTAAGGCTAGCCACAATCTGTCATTAAAGAACTTCAGTAATTCTCAAGTTGACAAAAACACAGCTTTAAGGTACACCATTGACAAGCAATATGTGTTTAGTTTGTGTCACAGATGCTAGTCGTTAATAGATACCTATACGACAAACAACCATAAAGTTCAGTTAGCATTTTGACAAAGAAAGGAGCACCCTCAAAGTAATATTTTGGTGGTTGTGGTACAATTGAATAACCTTGACATTTCAATCATGATTGCTCAGTTAATTTTTTCTATAAAAAGTTGGACAGATCTAGTTTCTTAAAGGCTCTTCTTTCAACTTCAAACATGACATATGATACCATTTTATCTTGCACAAATCNAATATTGCCAGAAACCATGTTCAAAGTGGGATGTCCCGGGCTCTCTGTGAGCCATTCACCACGTGAGAGTACACAAAACGTCTTAATTCTAAATCCAAAATTTAGATCCTTGAAATATGCCATATCACTCGCTAATGTGAGTACTATGAGTGATATGTCTTCTGAACTTGCAGCTGTCGTGTCAAGATCGACTAGATCGCTCTGACAAAGGGCTAAAGCTCGAAACGTCAGCTTTTTAACACTTAACGGTGGCCAATTTACAATTTCAACTTAGTTGAAGTAACCAAATTACCTAGTAAAACAAGAGTTACGTCTGATGCACGATCCTCGCAGTAGATAGCGCTATTTATGCAATAGCGAAAATCAGACCTGAAAAAAATCAAGCCTGTACGGGATTCGAACCACTGACCTCTGCGATACTAGTGCAGCGCTCTGCGATACTAGTGCAGCGCTCTACGATCCTCGCTATCTACTGCGAGGATCGTGCATCATACGTATCTACAACCGCAGTTCAAAATATAAGAACTTCATATATTCATTGTACCTGAAAACAAGAGTTGATAGCCGAGGTCGATAAAAAATGAGTCTTTTATTTTGCTCTGTTTGCTTGCCTCCGAGATCATCAGAAAAAAATGCACTACCGTGACTAACTCTGGCGAACACAACAACTTCATTTAGGTTTTTGTAAGTAGTTCACAATACCTGGATATTGAACGTTCAGAAGGAGCTCGATGTTTTCGGAGAAATCACTTTCTCTCGACGCATATCGGTCGATGCCTTAAACAGTTATTTTTTCGTGGTACCTTGACTTCGTAGGACCCTCTACACCCGCAAAGTAATCCGAATACTGAAGGTTTACATCGTGCACGCCTTCGAGAGAAGCCATTGTGAAAGCTTAGTTATCTCCCAACATGGCGGCCGCGTATGACGTAGCAAATTTTTGTCACGTGGTTGAAAACAAGGAATTCTACCATAGCACAGACACCTACATGTTTATTAGCCAATTGTGGAATTTCTGTGCAATTGTAAAATAGCAAGTAATTTGCTCGCTGATATTGGACATTTTTTAAATGCATTACATCATTTTAATTTGTACAAAATAATGACAAATAAATACTTAAGAAAGGTTTCATTTAATTCATGTGGACTTAGTTATAATAAATAGCAACAAGAAACCCATTTCTGCTGAAACCCCATCCGAACTAATTGCCAATAATGATGAAATCCTTGGATATTATAGAGCATGAACAATATTTGAATGATCCACATAAAATTGATAATAATTTCCATGTTTACAGTGCAACTGCTATTACAAAAGTCACTAGCTTAGACAAAACTAAGCTATATGATTATACAAAAGGTGCAGTGAATTCCAAAATTTTGATCCTAGGTACTGAATAGAATCATCATTTGTCTTGAACAATGTGATTGGTAAAGGGAAGTTTTGTAAGTGACCCTAATTGCAGCAGTGGTATTAATTGTGACCTTTACCACTTTCAGTTTCATACTTACTGTGTATTCTAGACAGAGCTGATTAATGTCAAAGGTATGCGGTCAACAACATCGGCTCGAGTGTGCAAGGTTTAAAATTTAGCAAAATTTGCGAAAACAATAAGGAGCTGGCATTTTGAAGCCAAGGCATTTTGTTGTCATCAAAGGCATTATCCAATTTCCAAAGTTTTTAAAGAGAAAATTAATTTTTGAAAATATTTAGGGGGTGTACAAGGCTTTTCTAAGTTGTTATACAAGAGATAGGTTGCAAGGAAGACACCTCAAAACAACAGAATAGAAATCAACCAAGCAAATGACTCAAAACCTGTGTTTCCATGCCAAAACATGGCGTGTGCATATATACGTTACTCAGCTCTGTCCATATTCTATATATTGAACATAACCATTTCAATGAAAGCACAACATTTCTCCTTAATAGTGATCAGAATAGAAAATATGGTACTACTAAGCTGCCTTGTGCAAAGATTCTTTGGGTGAATCAAAATTATTAATATTCTGTAAGTATACATAATTAATACTAATCAATATGAATATTCACTTTTGTTTTCATAAACTTTAATTTCAACTGAATTTTTTACCATTTATTTTGTGCATTGATGTCAATTAGAAGATTGTTTTACTTCATCTCAAGAATTAGTATCTCCTACAGAATTTTGTATTTTGGGTCCAAACCTGCATGCACTAAAATATACCAAAGTCAGGTACCAGGATATGAACATACCCAGCCTTACCAAGGCTGGGGTCAGAGTTCCAAAATTCAAACATTGAAAAAGAAATTGATAGAAGGGATCAGGCAACCAACCAAAGACCCAACATGAAAGGGGCAGGGACTGCACATTAATTTGGATCAATTAGTTTGTTGATATTCTCAGGTTGGAACTTAATAAGGATTATCATAGGTTAGAATCAGGACTGGTGTCTGTAAAATCATGGTATTTTTCTTGGATATCTTCCAGAAGTCTTATCAAGTTCTTGAGACCAAACAAGTAGCCTGTGTCAGGTCCAGTACGGGTGCGGTCCCCAGAGAACCCACTGTGTGTTGTGTGAGCAAAGTCAATCATTCGGACATCAACCTTGCAGCGATGACTGAAACACTGACTGATATTGTTTAAATTACTGTGATTGCTGGTTGGTGTTTCTGCCTTGCTTTGGCCTTTTTCTCTCTCTTTTGTAGAACTACAACTCTTTGTTGTTTCAACTGAATCGTCCATGTCTCCTTCATACATTAACAACAAGGAACTTGAGTAGAAACGGAACGAGTGTTGCTTCTCAATGACTTTGTACAACTTTCGAAGCCTTTGAAGTAAAGGTTCTATTAGTTCTGTTCTAAACTGTTGTCCATTGTGAAGGAAAGTAATCAATTCCTCTTTGAAGCCTTCTTCACGAAGCTTAAGTCCATGATATTTGTTGTGACACATAAATCTTCCTGAATTCTTTTTGTATACCTTGGAACAAAAAAAAAATGTGTAAGTAACAAATCAAGTTATACTGTATTCCCATGGATACTGCTAACAGTTGAAATGGGTGCCAATGTGATATGGTAAAATCTAAAATCAAGTTTTGTTTGTGCATCCAACCAAGAAAAGGGCAACTGATATTTGGTGCCAGCTGTTACACAAAACTGGCTAAAAAATTGTGTTTAACTTTGAAAATTGGTTGTCTGCAAGGTACCACTTGCTTCTTCAACTACAAGTTTCCAGTTGGAATACAACTATAGGTGGATGACTTCTGAAGTTCATTCAGTGTTCAATGTTGCCCTAAAAATCAGCAGTTAGTTAGTAAAGGGTGAAAGTTTCTAAAGAAACTGTGGTGCTGTGTTAGTGGGGGTTAAGCAAGGTAATTTGGTTATAATATCAAATAAGTTGAAATTGTAAATTGGCCAACACAAAGAGTTAAAAAGCTGATGTTTTGAGTGTTAGCGCTAGTAAGGCTGCTAGTTTGTAAGTTAGTCTTTTGTAAGTTAGTCTTTTCATAATGGGTCAACTAGCATGCATGGTTCATCAGTTCCCTTCTAGTCTACTCCACTGCCTTGTTATGGTCTTTGATTTTTATCAATTTATTGTTGTTGCAATTAGTAATACTATTATTATTAATATTATCATTATTGCAGTAAATGGTTTGAACCTGGGGGTAACATGTGAAGGTGTAGTCTAATCGTCTGGGTGAGTGTAGTCCTGAGAAAGACTGTTGTCGGTGGTAGTGACTGACATTTCGACAACCTGTGCGGAAGTCATCATCA